CCCACTCCAGGATGCCGCCGGGCAGCCAGACCCTGTCCCACTCCCCGTGCGAAGCAGGCGCTCCCCCCAGGTAATGCTCCTGCCTGCCCCACACACTCCCCCCCATCCCCTGACTCCCCTTTGGCCAGCTGTGCCCTCACCTGTGTGTCCCCCCCATTCTGCAGGAGCTCCCCGAGGCACCTGGGGCTCACGCTGCTCCCAGGAGGCGGAAGAGGGACTGGGTGATCCCCCCCATCAAGGTTCCTGAAAATGAGAGGGGCCCCTTCCCCAAAAAGCTGGTTCAGGTATGGGGGGGGGTTGGTCTTGGGGGGGGGCTGGGTACGGCTGTGGACATCAAGGGGAGGAGCGACGCTGGTGGTGGCCATCCCCCCTGCATCAGGGCAGGGTGTGATGCTGCTGCAGGTGGGGGGCAGGCACTGACCCCCCCCTCCCCATGTCCCCTCCCAGATCAAATCTAACCGGGACAGAGACACCAAGATCTTCTACAGCATCACGGGACAGGGGGCGGATGCCCCCCCTGAGGGCATCTTCACCATCGAGAAGGAGTCAGGTTGGATGAAGGTGACACAGCCGCTGGACCGGGAGCACATTGACAAGTACCATGTAGGTCCCTACCGGGGGGGGTGGTGCTGTGGGGTGCCAGCGTGCTGAGCTGCTCCCCCTGCTCACCCCTCTGCCCCACAGCTCTTCTCCCACGCCGTGTCCGAGAACGGCAAACCGGTGGAGGAGCCGATGGAGATCATAGTCACGGTGACGGACCAGAACGACAACAAGCCCCAGTTCACACAGGAGGTCTTCAGGGGTTCCGTGCCAGAGGGAGCTTTGCCGGGTAGGACCCTGTGCCACAGGGAAGCTCTGCCGGCCACATCCCTTAGCAAGGGCTCTGGGACCATTCCCATGGGGGATGTGGGTGCCCTGGTCCCACCACCACCTCACTGACCGGGATATCCCTGTTCCCAGGCACCTCCGTGATGCAGGTGACCGCCACAGACGCGGACGATGCGGTGGATTCCTACAACGGCGTCATCGCCTACTCCATCCTCAGCCAGGAGCCGCGGGAGCCCCATCCCCACATGTTCACCGTCAACAAGGCCACCGGCACCCTCAGCGTCATCGCCAGCGGCCTCGACCGGGAGGTGGGCTCTGCGGCACTGCGGGGCGGGCAGCCCCGGTCCTGGGCAGGGGGCCTGACGGGGTGTCTGTCTGTCTGTCTGTTCACTGCAGCGCGTGCGGGAGTACACACTGACCGTGCAGGCAGCCGACCTGGACGGCGAGGGGCTCACCACCACGGCGCTGGCAGTGATCGAGATCGCAGACGTCAATGACAACGCCCCCGAGTTTGACCCCAAAATGGTATTGTGGGCTCCCCCCGCACTGTGGAACCCTCTCCCCACAGGCTGGGGCTGGGCTGATGCCCACTGGGCTGTGGCTCTGATGGTGCCCCACACCTGCAGTATGAGGCATCCGTGCTGGAGAATGAGGCTGGACGGGAGGTGGCCCGACTGGCCACCACTGACCTGGACGAGCCGAGCACGCCGGCGTGGCGAGCCGTCTACTCCATCCTGCGCGGCAACGAGGGAGGCGCTTTCGCCATCACCACTGACCCCGTCAGCAACGAGGGTGTCCTCCGCACTGCCAAGGTGCGTGTCCCCTGATGTGTCCCCTCACAGAATCATACGGGGTTGGAAGGGACCTCTGGAGATCATCTAGTCCAACCCCCCCCCCGCCAAAGCGGGTCCACCCAGAGCAGGTTGCACAGGACCATGTCCAGATGGGTTTTGAGTGTTTCCAGAGAAGGAGACTCCACCACCTCCCTGGGCACCCTGTTCCGGTGCTCTACTGACTCTCACAGTGGAGAAGTTCCTCCTCACATTTAGGTGGAACTTCTTATACGCAAGTTTGTGCTCATTTCCTCTTGTCCTGTCACTGGGCACCACTGAAAAAAGCCCTGTCCTCCTGACACCCTTCCTTTAAGTATTAGTATGCATTGATGAGATCCCCCCTCAGTCTTCTCTTCTCAAGACTAAAAAGACCCATGTCCCTCAGCCTCTCCTCGTAAGAGATGCTCCAGGCCCCCTCCCCTCGCTGCCCGTGATGGGGTGCTGCCCATCCCCTCCCTTCTCCCAGGGTCTGGACTACGAGGCTAAGAAGCAGTTCGTGCTCCACGTGGCTGTGACCAATGAGGCCCCCTTCGCCGTGAAGCTGCCAACGGCCACCGCCACAGTGACAGTCAACGTGGAGGACGTCAACGAGGCGCCCATCTTCGACCCAGTGGTGCAGCTCGCCCGGGTGCCAGAGGACGTGCCACCAGGGCAGACCCTCGCCTCCTGCACAGCCCAGGACCCCGACAAGGCCCAGGGACAGAGGATCAAGTGAGTGAGAGAGGGGTTGGGGTTGGGGTCTGGGGGTGATCCCCAATGCCCCCCGCCATGGGACTAGCTCCCCTCTGCCCCCAGGTACCTGGTGGGGCACGACCCGGCGGGCTGGCTGGCCGTGCATCCCGAAAATGGTCTGGTGACGGCGCGGGACCACCTGGACCGCGAGTCCCCCTTCACCAAGAACAGCACCTACACCGCTGTGCTGCTGGCCGTGGACGATGGTGAGGGCTGGGATGAAAGGGGCCCTTGTTCCCTTGTCCCGCGTGAGGGACACGTGCTGCTGTCACCAGGAACCACAGGCTGGCTCCGGCAGGGAGCAGTGCTGGGGGCTGGCTGTCCCCACCCCTGTTCGGGGCACCCCTGTTCCCTTGAGGGTCCTGGTTTTGGGGAATCCCCCCCCTCCAGCGTCGCTCCTCCCCGCAGGCTTGCCACCCGCCACGGGCACCGGCACCTTGCTCCTCACCCTGCTGGACGTGAACGATAACGGCCCCGAGGCCGAACCCCGGGATGTCACCCTCTGCAACCGCAGCCCCCAGCCCCAGGTCCTCACCGTCACCGACAGGGACCTGCCCCCCAACACCGGCCCCTTCCGCGCCGAGCTCATCCACGGCTCGGGGGACAGCTGGGCCGTAGAGGTCAGCGATGAAGGTAACACCAAGGGGATGCTCAGCTTGAGGTGTGGTGGCCATACCAGTGGGTGTCACCCATGGGGTCACCCGCGGTGCCGGTCTCGTGCAGATGACACTGTCACCCTGCGGCTGGTGGCACCGCTGGAGCCGGAGCAGTACAGCGTCTACCTGCGGCTCCTCGACCGGCCGGGCAAAGCCCAGGTCACTGTCATCACCGCCCGGGTCTGTGACTGTGAGGGGCCGGTGCAGAGCTGTCCCCAGAGATCCCAGCCCGCCACCGGCCTGCCCTTCGTCCTCGCCGCCCTGGGTGCCCTCCTGGCCTTGCTGCGTGAGTTGGGGGGTCCCGGGGCTCCTGGTGCTGTGGGGCTGCACCCCCCCATGGAGCAGAGGGGGAGTGGGGACACACACATCCCTGCTGATGCCACTGCTCCCCCCCCAGTCATCTTGCTGCTGCTGCTGCTCTTCATGAGGAGGAGGAAGGTGACGAAGGAGCCGTTGCTGCTGCCCGAGGATGACACGCGGGACAATGTCTTTTACTACGGGGAAGAGGGCGGTGGGGAGGAGGACCAGGTGAGTGTCCTGGGAGGCCAGGGGGTGTTGGTGCCAATGCGTGCGTCCTGACCCTGTCCTTCTCCATCGTGTCTCCCCCCACCAGGACTACGACCTCCGGCAGCTGCACCGGGGCTTGGACGCTCGCCCGGAGGTGCTGCTCCGCAACGACGTGGCTCCCACCCTCCTGCCAGCCCCCCAGTACCGGCCCCGGCCTGCCAACCCCGATGACATCGGCACCTTTATTGAGGAGGTGAGCCCCACACCCACATTCATGCGGGGACCGTTGGGGTGCCACCCACCCGGTGGTGTCCCCAAACCCCCAGGGGACGGCTGCTGACCCCTCTTGCCCCCCCCACCCCAGAACCTGAAGGCGGCCGACACGGACCCCACGGCCCCCCCTTACGACTCCCTGCTGGTGTTCGACTACGAGGGCAGTGGCTCGGAGGCCACCTCGCTCAGCTCCCTTAACTCCTCCACCTCCGACGGTGACCAGGACTACGACTACCTCAACGAGTGGGGCAGCCGCTTCAAGAAGCTGGCAGACCTCTATGGTGGTGGGGAGGAGGAGGAGGATTAGGACACCCCCCCGGCCCTGCTGTCCCTCCCCTGCTCCATGCCTTACTGCTGCCTGTGCCTTGGGGCTGCCCCCTCCCGCCGTGCCCCCCGCCTCGGCGGCAGCCCCCTCACCTCCCTCTCCTGTATTTTTCTTGGTTAATCCTTTTATTATTTTTTTTTTCTTTTAAAATGTATGAAATAAAGGTAGTGTGATGCTATGGAAGAGGTGAGGGGGTGCTGGTGTAAGTTTTAATAAAGAATGTGGTTTTTTTAGATGCTCCAGCCTCTGCGTGGCTTTGTGCCCTGGGAAAGGTCCCTGTGGAGTTGCTGCCCACCCCAGGGTTTGGTGCTGACCCCAACCCCATTGCGGCCACCCCCCTATTCCCCCCTCCCCACACCCCCATTGCCCACTGCAGCACCAGGCTGTACCCTGCCCTGCGTAATACCCACAGGTATGGCTGCAGCATCGCCCATGTTGGGGGCAGTGCCCATTACCCCCTGGCAGCAGGGGCTCCCCCGGGGTCCTGGGATGACCCCAGCCCTGAGTGCTTCCTACCGGCTCCGTGCTCAGCCCTGGTTGGACTCTGACCCTCACCAGAGCCCTGGGAGCTGTGGGGTGGTGGGTGGTACAGTGGGTCACTGAGGGCTTCTCCCTGCCGTGGGGTCACCCCCAGCTTTGCTGTGACAGAGGGGGATGAGGGGAGGGGGGCTGGAGGTGACGGGGGCTGCAGCATCCCGGGGGGGGTCTGTAGGTGCCCCCCGGCTCCTGCCATCCACCGACCCCCCGAAGCTCCCACGGCCCCGGACGGGTACCCACGGAGCCCCGGGGGCTGGGGCCGAGGTACCGGGGTTACCCGGGGCAGGGGCCGGGGACGGGCGGGGCGGCACCGCCTCCCGTCGGGGCGGGGCAGAACGGGACGGGACGGGACGGGGCGGTTCCCCCGGGGGGAGCCACCACCTGCGGGGCGGGACCGGGACCGGACGCACCTGCAGCTCCGCGGCGGCGGCGGCAGCGCCCCAATTCCTTCGGCACCGCACCGGCACCGGGAGCCAGCTATGGGGCGGCGGTGGGGCTGCCCCGACCCGCTCTGTCTCTTCCTCTTTCTCCTGCTCCAGGTGAGGGATGGGGCGGTGGGACCTTGCCCGGGACACCGGGACCTTGGGACCCTGCCCGGGGCGGCGGGACCCTGCCCGGGGCGGCGGGACCCAGCCCGGGACTCACCCCTCTCTCCGGGCAGGCCGGACACCGGGTGTGCGAGCGGGCAGTGCCGTGCCAGCCTGGCTTCACCAAGGAGACCTTCGCTCTCACCACGCCAAGGGACAGCGTGGCGGCGGGACGGGTGCTGGGACGAGGTAAGGCTGGGAGCCGTGGGGACGGGATGGGGGAATGGCACTGGAGTCGGCCACGGGGGACAAAGCTGTGGCTCTGTGCCCATGGGGTACCGGGGTGGCATTGGGGACACGGTGCCATGGCGGTGTAGATGGTACTGTGGTGGTGGGGATGGTGCCATGGTGGTATAGATGGTGCCATGGCAGTGGGGACGGTGCCATGGCGGTGTAGATGGTGCCATGGCGGTGGGGACGGGCTCGGTGCACACTGTTGCAGGTTGTGGCCAGAGCCATGGTTATGTGTCAGTGGACAGCAGTGGGGCTGTCCCGGAGCGTCGGTGCAGTGCAGGCACCGGTGCCCCCATGGCGGGGGGACGGCGTCGTGGTGCGGGGGCAGCGGGTGCCTCTCCCCGGGGTGCGCCGGCGCGGGCGGCGCTGACTCAGGCGGCACAGACCTGTTGGGACCGGCAGGCCGGGGCGTGGGGCCGCGCAGGCGCCCGTCCTGCCCTGCGCCTTGCCCGCCCGTGGGGTCCCAGCACCGGGGGTTCGTGGGGGTTGAACCCCTTTTACAGCCCCCAGCACGGCCTCGGTGGTGTCTCACCGTGCCGGTGTGAGAGTCCCGTCGTGGTGCGGCGGGTGCTGGCACTGAGCCCTCTCTGCATGGCCATGGCGAGGGGAACCCACTGCCACTTTGGGGTGCCCCGCACCCCCCTGCCAGTCCCCAGGTGCTGGGGGGCTGCGCAGTGGCGGGGTGCAGGCTCCTGGGGCTGCGGCGCTTGGCCCGTCGCTGTTGCCATCTGCACTGGTTAATGGCTGATGGTGGTGCTGGCACCACGGTTTGCTGGGGGTGGCCGGAGTGGGTGCAGAGCACCAAGTGCCACATTGGGGTCTCCCAACCCACCCCAGCTCCGGAAGGGCTTCACCCCTGCAGGTATCAAGCCAGGAGCTGGACCCTGCCCCACACCTCAGGAATTGCTCTTTGTTAGCTTTCTGGTTGATCATTAACGAAGCTGGCTAGCTGCAGCAGACTGTGTCCATTAGGGCTGTGCTCGATACCACGGTGACGGGCAGCCCCGTGTCCTTGGCGCCTCCCTCCTGTGCAGGGCTGGTTGCTGGAAATCCCCATCCCACACCAGCACTTCCAGTTTCGGGTCGCAGACAGACGTGGGGTGTGGGAGAAGGGAAGGGGACAGTCATCGCTGTCTGTCCCTATGGGCTGTGTGCCAGGCTGGCGATGCCCCACCATGCGGGTGGACGAGCGTGGTGGGCACTCGGCGATGCTGACCCCCACACCACACCAAAGCCAGGCCATGGCTGACGAGCCAGCCTGTAATTAGGCTGATTAATTGAGAGCGGTGTTTTCCCTCCCAACAGGTCCGGACAGGCCCCACGCGGCGCCTGGGCTGGGGAGGCAAACACCTGCGTGGGGGCTGCGGCATCCCTGGGGCTGGGATGGGATGGGATGGCTGGCCCCCAGCCCTTGCGGGGGGGGACACGAAGGGGGCTTGTATGCTCCCCCTGTCAGCCCAGTCTGAAGTCACGGTGAAACTGGGGTGACGTCAGCGGGTGTGCCGCCGCGACGTGCCACTTGCCAGCGCCTTTGCCCCGGTTGCCCCTGGCGCTGACGTGACACCCCCCCATTTCCCCAACCCCCCCCAACCCCACC